TGGGGATGGTTTTGAGAGTTTACAGCCTCTGCTACCTCCAGTTCTTACTCTCTTCTTCCTGTATACGGTTGAGATGTTGAGGTGGTCTCTAGCTTTTGGCTCTAGCCTCCTGCCACCATGCCTTTCCCACCATTGTGGACATACAGTTCTCAAAACCATAACCCAAAATAAACTTTTATATAAATTGCTTTGTGTTATGACATTTTATCATAGCATCAGAATCGCAACTAAGATAGACAGATGATAAATAGCTTGACATATGACAGGTACATGGAGAGATAGATAGATAGATAGATAGATAGATAGATAGATAGATAGATAGATAGATAGATGATAGATAGATGATTGATAGATAGATGATAGATAGATGATTGATAGATAGATGATAGATAGATAGATAGATAGATAGATAGATAGATAGATAGATGATAGATAATAACATATTTAAATGAGAGTTTAACATGTACGGAAAGCCAAATTTTTAACTGAGTGTATTACTTTTGTATCATCAATATCTAAGGAACAACTAGAGAGAAGACATGTTCATTTACAGAGTCAGAGGGTTCAGTCTATCTTTGCTTGCCCCACAAGCTCAGGCAAAATGTTGCACATAATGGTGGCAGGAGTGTGGGGGGAAGAGCCTATTCATCTCCTGGTAGACAGGAAACAGAGTGAAGATAACTCAAGGCACCCCTCCCCCAAGGACATGCCTCTAGGGATTTAGTTCTATAACTAAATCCCTAATGGCTGAGAAGCCTAAGTGGGAACAAAAGCCACTTAAAAAGGCTACTGGGGAGCAGGGTCTTTGCCTGGGCCTTGTGGTGAGCTCTTTAAGAGCCACACCCAAGGGTCTCTTATGTTGCACCCCAGCTCTGCACACAGGAGAGGGTAGCCTGGTCAAAGAGGAGGTACAGCTTCAGCTGCAGTGTGGGTGCAGCTGTGGTGGGGGAGCAGCTGCAGTGTGGGCGCAGCTGCAGTGTGGGTGTGGCTGCAGGCGGGCTTGATTGGGTGATGAATGTCGGGAAGACTGCCCGCAATGTGGGTAGCAGGTCACTTCTAAAGGGTCCGAGACTGGAAAATGGCCCAGTGCTGTTCCTCCTAGAGAACCCGCAGAACGTGAGCTCAGCCTTGTGAGTTCTCCCTTAGACATATTTTCCTCTTCAAAAAATTCTCATCAGAGTTCCATCAAAGATGATGCAGGTGTTGAAACATTTTCCCCCAAATAACTGTACTTCATCTACTGACGGTCATTTTGGGGTCCAGCCTATTGAAAGCTCAGAAAGCTATTACAGTAAAGACAGGCTCAGAACTCAGAAAGGGGGAAAAGAAATGTGGCACCAACTGTAATAATTTTTATACGGGGAAATTACCAGAAGGCTTACTTGATCTTGGAGGTCCTAGAGCCCACAATGTTCAAGAGTTACAGCCTCAGACAGAGAGAAACTCTGTAATGACTAGAACCTGGAAAGGTTTTGCTGTTCTTTATCCATTTGTATCATAAGCAATGACTCAATGCACTCTCAAAATTCACTATTGACTTGATTCTCTAAACTGTGTGTGTTGTGTTTTCCCCCCTAGAGAATGATTTTAATTTTAATTTTTATTTTTACTTATGTACAAAATCAAAATTGTACATAATACAGGGGACCAAGGGATGTTTGAATACATGGATACATCCATTTTGACATGTAGTTTCTCAAATACTCATCACGGTTTCTTCTTCTTCAAAAGATGAAAAAGAAGAAAGGGGGGAGGAGGAGGAGGAAGAGGAGGAGGAGGAGGAGGAGGAGGAGGAGGAGGAGAAAGACAAGTACCATATGATGTCACCCATGTACAGGATATAGAATTCTTGACCTCAGAGAGGTCAAGAGAAGAATGGTGATTAGCCAGAGGCAGGGAGTCTAGCATGGAAACGCATGGAAACGAAATTACAAGTGGATATAGGTAGTATGTCTTGGGTGCTAAGATACAGTAAGTAAGATGATCGCAGATAGAAGTTGTGTAGTGTCTATTTCCAGGAGTAGAAGAAGGGATCTGGGATTTCTTGAGTGTGCAAGGGTTCCCTTTTCTCTATTTCCTCGCCACATTAGTTATCTTTTAAATTTCTTATAATAACCATCCTTCCTTTAGCTGGTTGATATCTCATTGTGCTTTGATTTGCGTTACTCTGGTGGCTGGTAATGTTCGCTATCTTTTCATTTGCCGTTATCTATTTGTATGTTATCTTTTGAAGGGAGAATTTAGGCACTGGGGTTTATTGTCTGTTTGGGAACCAGGTTATTAGGACTTGCTGTTGAGTTCGGAGTTCCACGGCTATTCTGGAAATCACCACCTTTCAAATACACAATTCATACATACTTTTTCCAGTTCTGTAGCTCATGACGTCACAATGCAGAAGCTTGTCAGCGAACCGCAATTCTGGTTGCCTTTCTTTGATTTTGTTTACTCTGCTTTAAGGGAAAACAAAAGCCTCCTTCCTGAAGTATTTTGCATTGTCTTCTACAATTTCATTGTTCCAGGGTTCACATTTTGGTCTTTTTAAAGCTGTGTTTTATAACTGATGAGAGATGAGAGTCAAGTTTCCTTCTGCACATGGATATGAATGCTTTCCTAGCACCATTTCCTGGAAACGTGGCCTTTCTTCTGCTGTGTATTTTCAGGTTTTTCATGGAAAGCCGGCTGGCTGTAGGTACACAGGTGTACTCAGCTCTGCATTCCACGCCACTGGCCTATTACCTGTCTTTACACCGGTGACATGTTGTCTCAATGGCTACGTACAGCTTTTTAAACAATATTACAGCCAACTGTGGACAAAATAAAATTTCCCTCTGTAAGGCAAATTCTTTTCCATTTAACGCCTTGGGTCATCAAAACCCTAAAAAAGAGCAGCCATGTTCCTGTCAGACACCTCACAATAGAAAGGGCAGCGAAGGCAAGTGAATTCCTAGAGATCCCATCACCCACGGGCTGGCTGCAGCTCCCGTAGTGGACTCTCGCGAGATCATGGGGGTGAAGCAGCGCTACAGGCTCTATGATGCCCCGTCTTGTGCCACTCAGGCTACTAGAAAATAAAACCATTTCCTGCCAGGTAGTGGTGGCCTTTAATCCCAGCAGTCGGGAGGCAGAGGCAAGTGGATCTCTATGAGTTCAAGGCCAGCCTAGTCTACAGAGTGAGTTCCAGAGAAGCCAGGGAAGCACAGACACCCTGTCTCAGAAAAAAAAAAAAAAAAAAAAAAAAAAAAAAAAAAAAAAAAAAAAAAAAAAAAAAGCAGAAGATGCTTCTTCTTCTACAGCAAGATTCCCAAGGGTGGAGAAAAGGTCCCAAATAGTGACAAATGCTGAAAGAGGGAGGGCGCCCCTGTGCCCCTTTGCAGGCACTATGGGGAACACTGCCACGTTTACCGATGTAAAGAAACGTCCCTCAAAAGGTGTTTACTCACAGAGAACATTTTTATAATTTTAACATTTTTGTAATTTGAGCACATCTTGGAAGTGGCTCAACAGAGAGGCTGGTGGCACTGCTTGCTGTTTAGGGAATGTAATAGATACACCTTGGGAAGCCAGGAGGGGAAGTTCAGAGAGTTTTCCCTCAGCCTGTCTCTGCAGGTGTGTGTGTGTGTGTGTGTGTGTGTGTGTGTGTTGCCTTTGGGGGTTTTGGCACTATCTGAGAGTACACGCTCCCCCCAGCCCTCTGGAGAGTGGGGAATGGAGGCAGGGGCACAGTCTAGCTAGAGAGCCCACATCATGAGTGGCCACTTTCGTCACCAGCTGGCAGCTACCTTTAGTTAACCAGCCTCTTCCTAAAGGCTACAGAGTGCTGAGGTCACATTTGTCCTAGTCGGAGCCTCACTTCCTCCTGCTCATGTCAAACCGCCTCATGGATTGGTTGTCACACGCTGTCAGTCTGCTATCACAGCACAGATTTCCTTCCTTCCAAGATTAGGTTAAAGCACTGATCCGAGCAGCAGGTACCTCCTCAGCCAAAAGCCAGGGCTGACTGGACTTTTCCTCTTATTAACCAGTGTAATATTACGTTGCTGGAGTAATCAGGAAGGTCCCTAGGTCAGCCCAATTTCACCAAATTACTCTCTGAGACTGAAGACAGTGATTTGGTGGAGGATAGAGCCCACCTCCTTACTTCTCCTACACCAGAAATGTTGACTCTTCAGGCATTTGGCTTCAGAGACACGGCAGTGGGAACTCTACCACTCTGTGCCACAGCCGTGGCCTCACTTGTCGCTAAGCCCCCATGGTGCCTAAGGCAAAGCATCAGGAAGATTGGCTGTGCTGCTGCTTAACCAGGATCTGGGGCACGAGGGGAAGCCCAAAGCCCGAGAGCTAGGAAAGCCTGCCATGTTCTGCAGCAGCAAAACAGAGGGAGGGAGGGAGGGAGGGAGGGAGGGAGGGAGTCTGATACACCACAAAGACACCTTTTAGGTTTTTCCAAGGGGATAACCAGGAAGGCTTTCACTGCTGCCTCTTGAACTAGGTGCGCCAGTCTACAGGGCGCCAGACTCTTCCAGGGTCTGAAAAGCAAGCTTCCTTGGGCAGGAGACTACTACACTCTCAATTCTGGCCTGAGGTAGAGCTAAGGCCCCAGACATACAAAAGGACTAATGCCTGGAGCGGAGTTCCCTAGCCTAACCCTAGGAGCTGGGATCTGAGAACCCTGGGTCCTCGTCCTTGGGACTACTGCAAGCCAGGAAGAACTCGGAGCCCAAAGGGACCTAGGTGCCCTGGAAGAGTTACAGGGACAGAGCCTCTTGGTGTCCCAGGGCGGGGCAGAAAACTGACCCGAGGGCGGAGACGCAGTTTAGCTTCACCAAGGACAGCAGGGGAGGAGACTCACTACCTTTGATACTCTCCCCCCATACTCCCCAAGCTCCAATGGCATTTAAAGGACCTAGGGCAGGAGGGTGGGGTAGCATCGTTGGGAGAATGGAGCGCCCATGAACTTCGATGCGGAGCCACCTGCACCGGCCCAGGCCGGAGAGCTGAACATGGCTGGGTTCTGTGATAGCCTGGGCTCTTGCTCGGTCTCGCATGGCCTGACTCGCGCGGCAGTCACTCATTCCCCGGGCTACAGTCGCGGGGATCTGGGCTCCGGCAGGCGCCTGTGGATGAACTCGGCTTCGCTTAGCCCCGCGTCCTACGCGGCGGGACCGGGACCGGCTCCACCCTACGCTGCAGCTGCCTTGGCTGCCCCGGGCTCGCTCCTCGGTGCTGCAGGCGGTCTGGCGGGCCCCGATCTCGCGTGGCTGAGCCTGTCGGGGCAGCAGGAGCTGCTGAGGCTCGTAAGGCCACCCTACTCCTACTCGGCGCTCATCGCCATGGCCATCCAGAGCGCACCGCTGCGCAAGCTGACGCTCAGCCAGATCTATCAGTACGTGGCCAGCAATTTCCCCTTCTACAAGCGCAGCAAGGCTGGCTGGCAGAACTCCATCCGCCACAACCTGTCCCTCAATGACTGTTTCAAGAAGGTGCCCCGAGATGAGAACGACCCAGGTAACCGGCAGCATGCGCACCCCGCCCAGTACCCCTGTTACAGGCGGCTAGTGGGGTGACTAGGGTGGAAGCGACCCTGGAAGACCCACCATTGCACAGATTAGATAACTTCCGTTGTGTGAAATGGGGAAAGACGTTTTAGGCTTCAGCTTCCAATCTAGCACCTTCAGGGTTCTGCGCATCTGCTTGAAGCCTAGAAAGCTAGTCAGCTGGGTGATCTTGGGAATTTTAACATCTCTGGGCCTCGATATACCTCCCTGTAAAATGGGGGGAAATAGTGATTACCTTTAAAAAAAACTGGGACAGGTTTGGGTGGGGGCGGATGATCAGCCTCTGAAGAGTGTCGAACCCTACCCAGAGGCCAGGTGTGGTCAGACAATTCAGATTCCCTTGGGTCATCTCTCCAGCGTCCGACCTGATGTACTTGGGTATTCCCTCAAGGGTCCGTTGCTGGGTCCTTGTGGAGCACCCATATTATTGCAGTATGACTATAAAGGCCCATTCCTGACACAAAGTACCTCCTCAGGGCTTGGGACAAGGAGGGTTCAGGGCCATCTCCATGGGGGTTAGTGGGGTCAACCCCGGGCTTTCTGAACCTCCCTCCTCCACAGGTAAAGGCAATTACTGGACGCTGGACCCAAACTGTGAGAAGATGTTCGATAATGGGAACTTCCGAAGGAAGAGGAGGCGGAGAGGAGAGACCAGTGGGGCCGCTGCACCTGGAGCCAGCAGCCCAGAGGGAGCCACACTGGAGCCCCGTGGCTCAGCTTCCCAAGACACGCAGACCTCTCGGTCCCCGCCTGCATCCGAGGCTGCCCCATGCCTCTCGGGGTTCACCACCGCGGTGGGAGCTTTGGCTGGCAGCCTAGGCACCCTCCCTGAGGGCCTGGTCCGTGACTTTTCTTTCCGAAGGCCACCAACAGCGGCTGCCCACGGTCCCCAGATCCCCAACACCGCGCAGGGCTTTGCCCCTGGCCATCAGATGGTGGCTACTGGCTTTAGGGTGGGTCATCTCGTCTACAGCCGGGAAGGGACTGACGTTTGAAGGAAGGCTGGAGACTGGCCAGGTGCTCTGTTCGAATATAGAGCTCAGGCCCTGAATCAATCCCTCCTGGGGGCGCCACCGGAAATGGCAGTGCTCCTGTGGGGATCAGAACTGAGGCAGGTGCAGCTTGCTGTGAACCCCTCACCCAGAGCGCTAGACACTCTTGGGCTTCCAGGGCTCTGCGGGTAGATCCAGCCCTGGGCTCTCTGACTACAGAGGGGTGACACGTTGGCTCTCTGCTCCAGCCTTTCCTAAAGAAGCCTGGAAGTCTCCAGTCTCCGGAGAGATGTTTTGGAGCTGATCAGAGGAGGGGAGGAAGCTAGGCTACAAGAGCATCTAGGGGACATCTGTAACTGACTTCCATCCCTGATCCAGCTGTTTTAGGGCAGTCAGAGAATAGGGTGGGGGTGGGAACCCCGACATGAGGACAGGCCTTCCACCCACAAGAGACTGCCCACTGAGGGGGGGTCAGGACTCTTGGGCTTAGCATACATAGAAAGAGGGACTTTCCAGATTTGGGCGGTTGGGAAGAGCTAATGCAGCAGGAAGGAGTCCCTGGGGACAGCAGCTCCCTCCCCTGTCACTCTGCTCCTGGCATTATTAGTGTCCCCATAGAACCTCCCTGTCCCCAGACCCCAGGCTCGGGTGCCTGGCACCTAGGAATCCTTGAACCGCTTGGGTTTGTCTTACCTCCACACTCTCACTAAAGCTGGGTGGCCACACCTGTTTTGGTTTCCCTCTGCTCCTGCCTCCTCCCCTCCTGGGGCTGCCTCCAGACCAGCAGAATCCTGAGGACTACCTCCCTTTTGAACTGCACTCCCTGGTTTCCCTCCTACTTACATTTACAGTGGCAGGCAAGGAGCTCAATTAAGAAATGGAATTTGGACCTCTGTGCTTTCTAGAGACCCTGGACGTCCCACCCGTTCTCTGGGGACATGGACACTGGAGGCAGAGGGTTGGAGCACACACACTCCTCCAGGACCCTTAGGAGAGGTACTTTCCCTGGAAGACAGCAAAACAGGGAACGCTTAAGCTAGCCCTTGAGTGAGTCCAGCCCCACTTGCACTAATATGACAGGCTTATCCTGGTTCATCTCATGTCTGCCTGCTGGGCCAGGGCTGCCACTGCTCAGCAAGTGAGAGCAGTGATCTCCTGGACCTGTAGGGAGCCTGATGGTGGGGGAAAGTGGGGAACAGAAGCCCTGGTTCTTGGTGCTGTGTGGCCTTCCAGTCGCTGCCATGGGAAGATGATCTGTGTGTGAGTTGGGTGGCCATGGTGTTGCTTAACCAAGCTTAGAACCAACTCTCTCTCTCCAAATGTAATGCAATCTTTAAAATCCAGGGAAAAATAAATTATTTAGAATATAAATAAAAGGGTTGTGGATCCTTTGGCCTATTTCATAGAACAACATGCTAAAAAAGGAGTCTGTGTTACTCAATAAAGGGACCCCAACCAACCCAGCACCAGCACCCCACTTTACGCTCTATGTTTTTAACTAGCTGCGACAACAAGAAGAAATACAGTGCAGCTTGACAACCAGCAGGACTTCCACAAAATTGTATACCATCCATACACATGCTGCCAAAGGGCATTATGGCTCTGTGACAGCTGCCAATCATGGGAAGTTGTGTCTGTTTTTTGCTTCTGATACTGAATTGCATATTAAAACTGAGAAAGGGATTACTATTTTTCAATGTTTTGTTTGCCTAGTTGAGTGTTTAGAGACAGTTTGGCTATTCAAAGCTATGTAGGCACTAATAAGTAATAGTACACTAAACAGATGGGCTCTCTTTGAGAAAAACATAATTGAAAATGTTCTAGTATGGTGTGGTTGCATGGAATGTAATTCCAACACTTAAGGGAAGTGACAGAAAACCAACTTTTAAGGCCAGCCTTAGCTACGTAGTGAATCTGAGGCAAACCAGGGCTATCTATATCAGACCCTGTCACAAAAGACTATCTCTCTCTCTCTCTCTCTCTCTCTCTCTCTCTCTCTCTCTCTCTCTCTCCCTCCCTCCCTCCCTTCCCTTCCCTTCCCACCCCATCCACCCCTCCCCCATCCAGCCATGCAGGATATTTGGAAAGTGATCATGTCAAAAGCCAAACAGAATCCATCCTTTCTGTAAGACAGTCCATGTGTCTGGGTGACTGTTTGGAGGGGAGGCACACCAAAATACAGTTGACAGGTGCTGGTGCAGCAGGCTTCTGAGGCATCACAAAAGAGTGTTTGCCTAGAGAGGAGACTCTGCTGAAGGCAAAACAAGTAGCCAAACAAAGCAGACTGGGTGAACTTGACCTTTTCTAAAGCCAAGCATAGATAGAGCAGGGTGTCAACGGCAAGGCGAAGAAGATGCTGCTAAGGACCCCATCGTGGTACTTATGCGCCAGCCCCTCCCCCATTCCCTCTCTTCATTGCCTTTTGAAATTGTGAGACTTACAGAAAATGCTAAATTATTAAGGTAACTGTGAGTCTGCAGCACAAGGTGTCATGAGAACTTGATGGAGCCCTGTTGGGTACTTAGCTCCTCCTTTGAGTGGACAACTTAGTCATTCCAGATATAGAAACAATTCCAGACTCCAGAGGGAAATGCCAATTCAAAATGCTGGGCTGTTGGGTATTCAGAGTTCCAACCATTGTCAATTAAGTCAGAATCATGTATGAGTTTTAAAACCCAAAGAGCATACTAATAGCATGAATCATATTCTCCCTGGGTATCAATTGGTCGCGGAGTCAGAAAGAATCTCCATGATAGAAAGGGTATTTCCAATGAAGAGTCTGATGTTCCTTCCACAAGTTTGTGAAAGTCTACAAGTGTTTGAAACCTGAACCCTGAACTTCAAGGCATGAGCGCTAATTTCACGTACTGATTAAATACAGAGCGTGTTTTTGATAATCATAATCTTTTGTCTTGGGTCTTTCTTTCTTCCTTTCTTTTTGGAAATAAGGTCTTTCTGAGTAGCCCAGACTGCCCTGCAGTTTGCGATCCTCGTGCCTGAATGCTGGGCTTATAGCCATGCATCACCTTGCCCAGTTCCTCCAATCTTTCATTTCTTAGGGTGTGTCTCCTGCAGTTGGTGTCCTCTGTCACTCATGGGCCCAGCAACACAGTAATTGGCAGAACTCTTCGACAAGAAAGAATCAAGAGTTTTCCCCCAAGCAGAGAACTCGAGTCACAGAACTAGGTGATGGGAAGAGACTCATCTTTTAAGAGCTATGAAGGACCCGTGGCACACAAACCATGCACCTGTACACACACACACCACAGAGCACTGCCCCAGCCAGAATTCTCTCAAGAGAAATTTCAGATATTAGAGCAACTATGATGATGAAGGCATAATGTTTTCAAATACCACTCTGAGAAAGTCACGCTTACATTCAGGATAGTGGACCAAGTGGGTAAAAATTACAGAAACATTACTGAATAAACAGAAGTTGAGTTTAATAAAATGTGATTCAGTCAATAAATCTTTTTGGAGGACTGACCATGAATCTATCTTTGTCAACCCGGCAGAAAGTGGTCTGCAATGGTTGTTGCCTACCAGAGCCTCCTTCTTGTGGGTGGGACAAAGATGAAGAGCAGCCACAGGACAGCCTCTTGAATGGAGGCTATTTGGCTCCAAAATGATTACTTTAAATATTACTTTTAAAAAGCCCTCATACCATATTGCCATATTGTACCCGTTGAATGGACTTGAATATGTTCCACACCCGCTTGCCCTCCCTAACCTCAGTGTGGTTTAGGTAGGGGCGCTTGTGCACCCCGGCTGGAGTGGATCTGTTTGTTCCCCCTCTCCACAGAAGCAAGTGGTAAGTTTAACCTAAGGCCTGTTCTCTTGTTAGGGCACCTGTCATCTGGTGGGGATTGGAGCTGAGCTCGCCAGGGTTTCTGGGTAGGGACTTCACTGGGGCTTCTCTGAATCCAGGAGCTGAAATACTGAGAGTCCCTGTAGCCCTGACATGCTAAGCAGTATCCCTCAGGGCTAAGCCCTGTGCCTTGCAGGAAGCTGCTTCCCTTGGCCTGCTTTATTAGTGCTGAACACAGACAACGGGAAATATCTTTGCCCTTTCTCTCAGGGACTGCTATGCTAAATCAGACCTTCACACACAGAGACCTATATCCCTGCCTCAGCGCTGGACAAATGAAGTCTATGCACTTGCCCTCCAGAGTCTCGTGCCCCGATTCATCTCACAGACACTGACGTCAAGGTGTTAAGCGTGTTTCTGGTGTTTCAAGTGCATTGTTTCCTACGTTCTCACATCTCAACCACGTGAGCGCATTTGTTCCCATTCTACCGATACCACAACTTGAGGTGAGGTGGACTTGTTTCTCAGGGTCACAGCTAATACTCAGCTGAGTCAAAAGGAACCTATCTTCTCTGCACCAAAACTCTGTCTCTACTTTATCCCTTCCTTCTCTAGAGTCTTCCCCACAAGTTGGAGGCAGCAATCTTTCTGGTGCTCAAGTAGCTTGGGCAGTTGGTAATTGTTGAATGAATGATTGATTGATTGATTGAATGAATGAATGAATGAATGAGAGCACCCTGTACCCTATACATTTCACACAACTCTTACATTCCAAACTCAGCCCCTCCCAGTATTCTGTGACCGGTTTGAGTTCCCTCACAGAGGGCCATCCTTCTGCTGGACTTAAAGGATGTAAATGTGAGTGAGACACAGCCTCAGAAGCCGCTGCAGCTGAACACCATATGTTAGGGCTTGGGTGCCGGGCTAGGATACAGATCTGTGATGGGATATAGAACTGGGACCTGTGAAGTTCAAAGCTGAAGGTGACAACAAGGCCAATATTGTCTGGTTAGCCTGTGTGTGCTCCGTTGTAATGATAAAAGCAGCCATCCAGGAGGGTCTTTGTTCTGCCAATGAGTACTAAGGCTTGCACACCTGTGGCCCCACCTTGGTGAGAGACCAGAAGTGCATACCTCCCCAGGAAGCACTTTCCAGACCACCTCCTCCCGTGCTTTTGAGCCCACTGTCCTCACTG